TCTTTGTTGAAGTAATTTGGAGATGTTGTCTCCAGAAAACCTCCGACGAGGTTACCTCCGGATAGAGGTGTACGTCATGAAATTGACTTGGTTCCAGGAACCCATTACTGTGTGACGCGACAGTGGCCGCTGCCACGAGAACAATGTAACGTCGTTTACGAGTTCTTTCGTGCGAAGCACGCGGCTGGCATGGTGCGTGAGAGCAAGTCTCCTCACTCTACGCCCACGTTTTGTGTGAGAAAGCCTAATGGGAAGTGGCGAATAGTGCATGCTTACAATAAGGCGAATGCAGCCACTATCCCGGCTCAAACACCGACTCCTCGCAAGGATGCTCTTCAGAACAATATGGTGGGATGTACGATGTACAGTGCCCTCGATCTCAGTCGATGGATATTACCAACTGCTCATGCAAGCTATTGATATCCCGCTGACAGCGGTCAGCACTCCGAGCGGTATGCTCTGGGAGTGGTTATTGATGCCCCAAGGGCTTCCTAACGCACCTGCAACGTTTAATCGTCTAGTGACGCAGTTGTTTCGGCCCCAAAAGGCGTATACACCGACATAATTTGACCATATATTCTTCCATAGTCGAGCCAAAAATGGCAAAAATGATGCGGAGAATCACATCGAGCACCTGCGAGATGTGCTCAGTTGTATGAAGATGCATAAGTTATATGCCAATATTGACAAATGCATCTTCGGTGCGGAAGAGATTCCTTGTTTGGGATGCTTCATTGGGAAGCGAGGAATCCGGGCAGACCCTGTTAAGGTCAAAGCCATAGTGGATTGGCCGGTTTCGAGGAACCAGAAGAACCTCCGCAAGTGGTTGGGTTTGGCAAATTACTTGCACAAGTATAGCCACAACTATGTGGAAGTGGCTAGGCATTGTCGAATCTCCTCAAAAAGGATGTGGAATGGTGTTATAACACCTAGCGCCACGAGGCTTTTGAAGCCATTAAGGAAAGTCTCCGTCAGGCGCCAATTCTGGCTCTACCTGATCCTGATCGCCCGTTTAGCGTCGTATGTGACGCTTCGGACTTTGCCATTGGCATTGCACTTTAGCAAGTCGACTTTGAGGGTCAAGAACGCGTTATTGCGTTTGAGTCTCGCCGGCTGAAAGCTGCAGAGAAAACCGTCGACTCCACCCCGCCTGTCCCGCCTGCCCCACTAGCCCAAATGAGCCCCTTGAGAGCATTCTACCATCACATGCGGCAGTCGCTAGCAAATCGGCGGTGCCTGACTCCCCCCCTTTCTCGCCTTGTGGGCTCCTCTGCTTTGGTTTTACCGGTTTAAATATGTGGTGAGGCTGACACCCTGGTCTTGCCCATGAAGTGCCTATTAAATAAGTCCTTTTTTAGTGAATCCTATTTTAGGTATGCCTACTATGATATGATCTTATGTTAGGCTAGTCTATTGAAACAAAGCCTAGTGTAGGCGTGTATATTCAAACAAAGCCTTTTTTGGGCATATCTACATGTTCAAGCGCTAAGACTGGGGTAACAACGAACAGTCCGGCGGGAGAACCCCTAATAGAGCTTATCTTCTGCCTCTTCGTTATGATTTCACAAAATTATAATTGCAGCCGCCAAAAAAACCTTGCTCCTTGTGTTGCCCCTTCTCGGTATTATAATGCTTTAGATGGCGCAACTTTGCGTGTGTTTTTAGGGCAACTGAAAACTGTGGCGTCTAAACGACGCCTTCGTTACCCCGAATAACGCGGATCTAAATATTGTAATGAAGGTCCAAGAATCAAGTGACACGGTACAGAATTAAGCTCTTGTCGCTCATGCTTCTGTCCCCGATGCCCAATTTTCCTGCTTATGTCGCTCAAGATTTGTTCTGGATGCTCAGGATGTGCTCATGCACGTAGCTGTCGGGTCCTCATTGCACTGCAAGTCAGCCAACCGTGCTCGTAGGAAATCTCTTTACCGCGCAGTGGCTGTGCGATCAGTTACAAGGACTGAGGAGGTCGATGCTACGGCAGCACGCACACCACTGACACCTACCGCGCCTAGTACTCAATCCACGCGGCTGACGCAAAGCTCCGTGCGACCATGAAGTTGATCCACCGGCTAAATTAGGTGCTTTCGATGGTCTTCAGAGCGTCGTCAAGACGATCGCGGATCGCATCCATTTTACCCGGGCAGTGGCTGAGCACATGGGCAAGCGACTCTTTCCACCTGTAGCCTTGGTACCGGCATCGAGCATGAGCACGGAGGCGTCGACTCGATAAAGCATCACTGGCATTCAGTATAAAGCCAAGCGGCGATAGCGAAACGTAATTGCTTTCCCACATACCGCGATGCCGGGTCAAGAAGCCGCTGCCGAAACCACCATGAGCGCAGGCTGTCTTTTTCTGGTCCTTGTGGACAAACCAAGCTATCCAGCGCAATAGATTTATAGGCTGTTACATCTGCCGGAGCACATAGCGGTGGTCCAAATAGCCTGGATGGTGAGGCACGTGAAGCTGCAATGGCTGAGCAGGTGTCCCGAAGGTGGTGTTTGTAGGGGCTGTCTCCATCGTAATACCATATCAACTTAGAATGTTGCGGACGTCGACCCACATCGACGCAATATGAGCATGCAGCCGCTTTGTGGAGCGTACCTACCGCGGCCCCCACGGATGACCACGCACCACCGAGACTACCGGTTGGATGAGGCGTTGGACGAACTCCATGCCCTGGAGAGTTCTCGGCCCCACGATCATCCAGCGATTAGCAAGGCGCGCCGGCGGGTTGGTCGAATCCGCTCGGCACGAACTCAGCACGCTCTGCGGCACAAATTTGACACCGACGAGAAGTCGTGTGTGGGGAAATTTCATCCGCAGCCCGTGTTGCTCGTGAACAACAAAGAAGCAGTAGCAATCACGGGAGGCTGCACGATTCGTGATTGCTACTGCTTCTTCTCCGTTGGTGACTCCAGTGAAGGTGGTTGATGATAGACTCTGTCCAATTTCTAGTGATAAACTGTGGAGGTTCTTTGATAGGGTGGTAAAGTCTCGGCACTCCTTCAACGCTGAGACCTCGTCTAGCGCGGGATTTTGAGACGCAATGGATGTATTAAACCTGAAGTAGACCTATTGAATCTCTGATTTGGTGTAAGCTCGTTTCAATTAGCGAACAAGAGCGGCCGGATGTAAAATTACTGCAGTTAAGTCCAGAGGGTCTTAGAGAAATCGAAAAACGTGACCCACAGGGTGTGCATAATTTAATAGCCCTAGTCTAAAAGGTTAAAGATGAAGTCAAAGCGGATGCTGCAGCAACATTAAAGATGAAAGTAAAAACGATGATGCTGATTGCAGGAGAGACAGAGCCACATCAGCCTAGCCGAGAAGCTACAACAGATGCGGGTCATGTATGAAAGAAACGTAGGGTGACGTAGTGAGCCTTTCGCAACCATTGACGACATTAATGAACAAATTTTATCGTTGCTTGTGTAATTCTGTCTCATGACTGGACAGAGAAAAAGGTCAAAGCTGAAATCTTTCATCTTATCTATCGTTTTTCAATCTATGCACTCGTTCGAAGAAGCACATTAGAAATGGAGTTATCTACCACCGTTTCGTAAGATACAAAACATAACATGTGACGTGGAAATGCGTTTACCACCTGATGTGCATTATCATCACAAGATTTCAGATATCTGTCGCATGTTACTATCATTCATTGTACGTCATTTTCGGATATTTATTATAGTATCAACGTCAAATATATCATTATGCTTGCCTTGTACGAAAACCTGTTGCTACCGGAGGCCAAGCAATCATTCTGTAATACATTAGGATGTTGTACGCAACGCATAGCGCTGCATTCATGAATCATGGACATTATGGACACTATCGACACTGCTTGTCGTTTCTGTTCATCGACATTTACGCGATCTGTCACGGGTCGTATTAACTTAACTGCCAAAAAAACGGGTAATTTGACAGCAATATAACATTTGTTTGTTGCTTGTGAAAATGCCAAAAATGTCCCAGCACCACGATTACATGGCAATGGCGAACGAGTATTCACATGTGTAACCCAGCCAAAGCAAGCAGAGGTTTTCTTAAATCATACTGAATGTTTATGTGTACGTGCACTGAAGGCGTGTCATGCAAATAGTGTTGTGCATCGTCATTTGAAACCAGAAAATTTACTGCTGGACGTCAACTACCACGTAATCTTCCGCTTTTGGAGCCGTGGCTGTGACCCCAATAAGTGACGCTGTATCGATCTATTCGAGCGGCATTGTACATGGAGCTCAAGATTCAGTCGAGATGGATGTAACCGTGGCACATTGGCAGATGTTTGTCAACAGGTGTGGTGCTTTTTATCTTCATAACTGGCTTAGGACCGTCCAATAAAGCACATAAGGAAGATATTGAGTACGACGACATTTAGAGTAACGGCTTGAAAAATTTATAGAAATCGGATACTGACGAAATGCTCCAGGTATGACTCCTGGCGCTCATCACAGTTACAGAAGACTGCAGCACACGTGGTTATGAGGTGCCAACTGTATGGATGTAGCACTGGTTCGACACACTGTGTGGACTCATCTCAAGCAGCATTTAAAGCAGCAATGCACCAAATGGCGAGTAAAACAAAGCGTGGACAATTCAATATTTTATCAGTTGCAAGAAATGTAAACCATCAATCGCTTTACTGCTCAACGTAAAAAAATAAACTTTCCTCTTTTTACCTTCATGTGCTGGTGTTTAGCATACGTTGACTAAGTTAGCAACGCTAATGACTTTTGAAGAGCACACGCTAGTCTACAATCCACATTTCGAGCATTTTAATTGCGTGCGAACACCGAGATAAATATGATAATAGCTGCTCTGTATTCTTTACACACACAAACACTCATGACGCACTTCAAGCAAAACTCAAACAGCCTTATTAGCAGGTCGCATAGCTCTAATACATGCATAATAAACAACTTGACGGCACTCTCTTTTTTGCTGCTGAAACGAGCTCCTCAACAATGACCAAACGCTCCACGTACGTTGAGCATTACGCGGTGCTACTACAAGCTGTTGTGCCCGTGTGCATGATCATCTGACGCAATTTCTTGATCGTAGGCGATGGCTGACCATGCATGATGTTTACAAATGGTTTTCTGAATTTAGTACCGGAAATGGAACGACTACGTACTGCCTGCACCGTGCGCATCTGATGCTGTAGCAAATCTAGCTCTTGTGCTTGTGAGAGCTCGCTCGAATTGTCAAAAAATTTGACATTCTCTTTCCAATTCATTCGACGCCATAAATGCAGCGAATTGGCCCATTCCTTCATAAGGTCATTCGTCGGGGCTGCAAACTCTGTCACACGCGTCTCCCCGAGTTTCATCCGACGGCCTTCCACACGAACGACCACAGCAGCCGATACCGTAAAGCGGTATGGCAATTTACTAGGCAATGACTTTTCAACACGTACTTTAGTCACATGACCAGCCATTTCAAGTTCATCTACAAGCACACCACCCTTTTCCATATAAAACTTGACAACACCGTCCTCAAAGACACAAAAGTATATTTGCTGCATATTGAGAACCAACACATACCACAACGAATTACTACTATCAAATACACATAACACGACAAGTACTTCAAATGACACAAACAATATTCAATTTGACTTACGGGTGGATCGAACGTGTGATGCCCATATTTGATTAGATATCCCTCTCGATACATGCGAATAAGTTTCTACTATACACACTTGAGCTCTTTAGTATCGAATAATGATAATGATATAGAATTATAGTCAGCATACCACCTACTTACTATCTGTCCTGTGCGAATAACGTCTTAAGTACGTTTTTCCGTCGTATTAAGCGTTTTGCAACCAGTTGTTAAGTGGCAAAAGTAAGTAATTGTAAGAGCCTGTCCTGGAGTAGTAAGTAGTATTTCGACTATTGTTGCACACAAAACCCGTGAACAAATCGTGAAATCGTGTTTTTTATTTGTCACCAATGTATTATTTATTGCCTTTGTTTCCTTTTGTTTTGCCACGGGCGAATATTATAGTCGACACTGTCTTTTCCTGCTTACTTACAGTGTCATTCATCATCGTGTCTGATCAAGCAGATGGGCAAAGTATACAATTATCAAGTGATTGAAATCGTCACGCAGGCCAGTTTTAGATAGAACGGCAATACTGTCTGTCTGTCTATCTGTCGTACTTGCTCTGTAAAGAAGCCAGAACAAACTGCTCTCCCTTGTTATCACAAGGGCCCTGTATAATTTGATTAATCTGTTTCAGCAGGTAATCCTAAAATCCGATATCAGGTCTGACAATAAGTGCGTCACGCTTCACACTCTGCACAAGGACGTGACATCTCATGCCGTTAGATTACATCCCCTCTATAAGAATGAGCACGAATGATAAAGCATTTCTACTATCAATGAATGTAGAAAAGTTTGTACGCTTTAATAGCAATACAGTACATGCTGATAAGTTTTATAAAACGATTGGCTATGGTCTGGATGCAGTAGGACATTTATTTGCGCATTTGACGCAACAAGAGACCAACACATCTCAAGGTTTACAAGCTATTGCCTCTAATATTTCAATGGCACGCTATGTCATTCGATTTACTGGTGGATTTGAATCCTATGTGGCATGGAAAAATCAATCTTGGTGTTACGAAGATGATGATGAATACGTACGACGTCTTGTGAGTTTCCAGGCGCTGTCGATGATCATGTATTATCCGTTGGAACATCTTTCTTATCTAGGATTCATGTACGTTCATTGGATTTGAGTGTGAATGACAATGAAAGCAAACAAACTGTTAGTGATGCTAATGGCGACAATTATTTGATATCTGCTTCATCATCATGTTGCTGTTGTTATTGTTTATAAAGAGCACCAAAGCTCCTGAATATTGATGCTATGAAGTATTCAAGGCAATCGTGTCGGATGTGGGGAGTTTATATTCTATTGGATGTGTACGCGAATGCACTCCGGTATATCATTTGCTTTTCGAGGATAAAGTACATTTAAACTTAATGATATCATGGGTCGGATGATACTAATGAATTGAATTCGTGATAGGATTCGAGCGCTCATGGTAAAGGAAAAGCAAATCCTGGAACTCCAAGATCTGACGGATGAAGAGGTGATTGCATCATTGTGTGACAGAGGCATTAACAAGTGTTTGTAGAAAGCGGTAATTTGGAATTGATTTTGTATGTATGCGTTTGTCCTGTAGCGTTCGACTCAAGTTGCAAGCATTCAAGCTCGGTACGTCAAACATTTGCTTGTTTTTCATTTACATTGTCGCACATAACAGAGTAGTTGATTGTACTTTCAGACGCCGTGAACTATATTACGTACAAGTTCGCAACTTGTTCTACGCTGGACCTTGCATTCACTGGTCCCTTCAGCAAGGCTTTCTTTCAGGTATGTCTGTACATGTCATTTCACACGCACTGCGTGGTCTACATACAGTACACTTACTTTGTTGCTGTTTTGCATATGTTCCACTCAGACCGCCTTGTGGGTTTTCTTTGCGCGGCAGAAGCTATCGTTGGCCTCTGGCGTTCATGGGTAAATACCAAGTAAGCAAGCTATGCAGCAATCAGCAACAAATGCTCGATGTTGTTCTCTATTGATTGTCGTGGCGATTTGAAGGATTCTTTCAAATGATATTCAACCTCCTTTAACATGTATGTGAGTAAATTTGTCAAGATACTTTCATGCACGGTTCTCATATTATGCTTGCAGTTAAAAAAGATCAATTGTTTCTGCACTGGATACGACATTGACTTCACCAAATTGCCGCAATAACCACACCTACCTCTTGTAAAATGAAAAATTGACTTTGTTGTGCCTCCTACTATCACATTGCGCTACAGAGACGCAGCCAGCTTGCTCAGCCCGCGTTTCTCACTTGACAAACTCCCATTTGTTGACCATCATCTTGGAGATGCACTGTAGAGCTTGCTTTTGTACCTCCCCGTTTTCGTGCGTCATAAGTTTCATTGCCACCTTCTTGGCACCAAGCCTCTTGGCAATATGCTTGCCGTTCGGGTAGAAGCGAACAAATTCACCCAGATCAAATAGAGCTACAGCCACCGTCTTTGATTCGTCCGATTCCAACAATTCAATCAATAAGCTGCATTGGCAAAGGGCTGTTAGATGCAAGATGTGGGCACAGTGTAACTTGCTCGCTTACCGAACAAGCTCAAAGTCCTTGTTTTCAAATCTCATGAAGTTGTCTTTCCAGAATTTGTCAGTGTGCAACAGTCCCCAGTTTAGTCTTCCCGTTTTTAGCTCCTTCTCGTAACGCTCCATGGTACTACACACAAAGCAGAGTGAAAAAATAAGAAGCAATACACGAAGTAATTAGTATCAACCTAGGTGTGCACGCGACAGGCAATACTGAACCATACTTTAGCTCCTTGTACTCGCGAATGAGTACGTCACGAACAGATTGGATGTCATTGACAATATCTTCATCAGCCCACTTTCGCTCGCGCATGTTGTTTAGAGTCTTCAAAAGCCCGCTATCGATCATTCGTTCGTTGAAAAAGCCACTGAGCTTGCCGAGTAAGTTCTGCGTATACAGAAAACCCGATCAGCAACGGCAAAATTTATGCCTGCAATTCCGTTTTCTGGTTTCCAAAAATCCTTACCTGAAGAGCTTCTAACGCAACACGCACAACCTTCTCACGCGGAGCTGCTGCCACTTGGAGCACAATCACGTCCAATGCATTTGCAGCTACAAAAGTCTCCATAGCTTCATCGCAAAATGCCAAGGTCCACAGGATGAAAGTCAGCTGGAGGCAATTGCATGAACAAATAGAAAATTACCACATATAATATCATCGTCTAGGCTAAATGTTCAACGCATCCTTTTGAACATACCTCGTACGCAAGTTGTGCGCGATTCTGAGAGCTCTTCAACAAATTCACTACCCTGTGTCGCGGTAATAGTAAAAAAGTTAGCATGCAATCACTTCATGAAAAGGATAAACATGCACTTACGAAGTTACCCCGCCAAGTTTGACAAAAATCACTCGCAAGTTTTCGTTACGAAGAAGAACCATTAGAGATGCAACGGCAGCGCGTGTAACATTTGTGCGAGTTGGGTCATTAGTTGAGGTCGTTAACGCACCCGCCTTCAAGGCCTGAATTGTCCACTGACTTAGGGCCTCGGCATCTTCCTGTCTCGGACGAATTCTAAATCAAATCGTCATAGTCAGCGTCACTTTGTCATCATCACTTGATCAGGTGAAACATGACGCACGTAAGAAAGAGTGCAAGCAAGTGGCTTGCAGCAAATTGCATATAGCCTGCATCATTGCGGATCATTCTCAAGAATGAAGCAGCATCCACAGTGCTGCCTTCTGGTACAAAGTAAATCATACGTTTATGAAGACGTAGCCCATCTACAAATATCAGCCAGAACAATAGCAAAAAAATCAGCATAGCAAGTATCACAGGATCTCATACAGTTCAAACTGTACCAGGCAATAATTCCTCCATGCGAGCCAAACAATAGTTGAGCACTGTAGGTTCCGTGACATTTTTTATTAGCTTCAGTAATACACGGCCAATAATAATTCCGGCATCTACAATACATGACATTATCACAAATATAACGTGTCAAGATTAATTAATGGGATAACCTTGACTACTCTGTAGTCATTTTTATTACCACTCATGAATTCATCCACAGCTTTCACCTGAATGAAAAAATAGTAATACAACACAATAGTATTCATCCTTTACAAATAGTACTACTACTTTCTTCTTCTTCTCCTCGTCTTGGCTATGTGTCATGTGCTTACATTTGTCGTATCATCAACGTCAGACTTAATAATTCCTTCCAAGTTCTTTAATGCCACAATTTCGTTCTTTTCTAATGAAAAATTCCCTGCACTAGTAATATCGATGGGAAAAGAAATAGTAAAATAAGTAACAATAAGTACTATTTTTATAGATAAAATTAAGATAAAAGACGATAAGAAAAATAGCAAGTGCAGTAATCAGAGTTGATGCTACAATAAATTCAATCATACCGCGTATAAGTTGCCCAATTGATATCTCGAAAACGATAGAGTGCGTCCTCCCTGGCCAGTGCTACGTCCAGTGAGCCATTGCCCGATATATTAATTGCCACATGGCTCTTGCTCTTCATTGTACTACTTTCTCTTACTACTTAAGCGATCCTTTGTTTTACTTTATCCGTTTGCCGAATTTAGTGTTTTGACACTCTAACTAATCTATAATATTTCGTGTATGAAAAATAATAAACAAATTGTGTAATATCCACATATTATCCAGGTTTTTATCCCATTTTTTTGTGAATTAAGTAGAAAATGTCCGTCGCGCTGACGAAAAAAATCCTTTTCGTCTTGGGCGGTCCTGGGGCCGGGAAAGGCACACAGTGCACTAAGTTAGTCGAGAAATTTGGTTTTGTTCACTTGTCGGTAAGGAATGTTGCTCTAGTAATTTAATTCTAGACTATAAAATACATGCATTTTCATACATATATGCAAATATACGTGTGTGTGTCTATGAATCATATACACTCATGTGTTCATTTCGATCCACTTATTGTTTCTTTGTCATTCTTACAGGCTGGAGACTTATTACGTGAGGAGCGTGAGTCAGGATCGTCTAATGGTGAGCTTATTGATCGAATGATTAAAGAAGGACAAATTGTACCCGTAAAGATTACGCTAAATCTACTCCAGCAAGCGATGGTCAAGAGTGGCCGCGACCTGTTCCTTATTGACGGGTTTCCACGCAATTTTGACAATTTGCAAGGATGGCAAGAGGAAATGAACGAGAATGAATTTCAAGTGCAGGGTGTGCTGTTTTATGATTGCCCTGAGAACGTCATGGAGAAGCGGCTACTGGAGCGTGGCAAGACGAGCGGACGCACCGATGATAACGCCGAGGCTATCCGTAAGCGCTTTCGCACGTATCTTGACTCTACCATGCCTGTTATTATGCATTATCAGACACAGAACAAGGTGTTTAAGGTCGATGCTACCCCTGGTCCCGACGAGGTTTTTGAAGCTACTAGCGCTCTGATCGGACCTCTCGTCGCCAAGTAAACTAGGTCGAGTCAATGCTTTTGGATCGAAACCAACATAAATCGATTGACTTTCATCATTAGCATCGATAAAAATGAATAAACCAATTACTACGATAAGGCAAGTTCTGTAGAGTAAACACAAAGGCATATATCATTCCATTCATCCATGAGTGAAAAACAATACCCGTTTGGTCATTGTATGTTCTATCGCAGTTTTAGCTCATCCTATGATTTTTGATTCATGTCATTATCCATTTGTCCACCATGAGCTTCGAGGAGAGCGTCACGTCCTTCTACGTGGCGCTCGCGGAGCAGCAGCTAGAGCAGGTTTGTCAGGCGTTGGGAGATATGCGTGTTACAGTTAAATGCTCTTTGAATGAGGATCAAGCGACAGCAGCTGTGCGCGATGAAATGATACGCAGCTGCGAGGTAAAAGCTCAGAGTGTGCAAAGTTTGGCACTAGCAAGACTCCATGAATCCTGCACAGACTCTGACGTGGATGCAGCTTTGATGTCGTTCTCTCATTGTGTCATTTTGGGTGCTGTTGAGGATGCGGTACCGCGGTTCTCTCGCTACTTGAACAACATTTTTGCTACACAGGCACGAGTCAGCCTTGACCATGTAAAAGGCAGTAAACAGGCTGCAAAAGTGAATGAAAATGGCTACATTGATCGTGCATTCTACGTGGAAGCTCTAAGCGAGCTTTTGACGGGAGCTTCAGATATTATGAACGCTGTGGCAGATGTTACAGGTGACGCCCAAGTGCTACGACAAGTACTAGAGCCGATCCACACGTCGTGTGCGGAGACAGCTTTACAGATGGTGCAAATGTATGCGGACGATGCACGTATGGTGGCATGGGAACGACGAGCGAACTCACAAGTGCAGAGAGATCCTCGTCAAGTTTTGGAGGAAGATGATGTAGAGGCGGACGAGAGTCTACAGATGATTGACTTGTTTTTGGATGAATTGGCGTTTATTATTCGAGTGCTAGTAAGCTATACAGCGTTTTATTCGACAATATGTGAAGAATTAAGATTCGAGAATGGAAACGGTGGGTTTCAGATGAAAGTGCAGGAGCTCAGTGGGGTATACGTGGTGTTGGAAAGGTTCTACGTATTCCAGTCAGTACATAAAGCTACAGCGATTGCCGAGCCGCAGGAACTAAAGCACGGTGTTTATGTATCGAGCGTCGTCGAGGATATGTCTTTTGTGCTGAATAAAGCGTTTTATAGAGCGTCTCAATGGCAAGTTATTTTACTGAAATAAGTTTCAGTCGCTGGCGTGTTTGCTGTTATACTGACTTATGCTTTGCTTTTGTCGTACTTGCTGTAGCATGAATTACCACACTGCATTGTCTATTGTGATTGCAATTGTGGATGCCTTGGAGTCACAATATTTACCAGCTATTCTAACACTTGCTAGCCGACCGTGCGTGATCCCATTGAGCCCTGTCAATGGAGCTTTAGCAAATTCAAATAGCCGTGATGGCACCAGACTCGATGGCCAGGCCAATGGTGAAAACGTAGTATCTTTTTCAGAATTGCTGCTTCAGGCAGTAGATAACGATTTGGAGCGAACATTACAGGAGGAAGCAAGACTTATCATGACCATTAATTCAGCATTTGTGAGTGGTGAGTTTGTTCAAGCATTGCAGGAAAAAATTGAAGAGTATTCGCGGGTGACGTTTCCCAACGATGCACCCATTCTTGAGTGTCTGCCGACCCCCGTTCATGATATGACGGAGGCCTTCCACTCCATTGTGTCCAATGAAGTACAGGAAGTGCTGTCGCGCTCGCTGCGCAAGCGACTACAGGAAGTGATTCAGCTCCGGATGAATGAACAACTGAAGTATGTGCTCACATCAGCTGAATATGATGCTTTTGGTTCGCGTGGATCACCTTTGTTAAGGCTTGTAGAGGATGAAATTATGAACAATCAACAACTATTACGCTATGAACGTGCTTTTTGCAGTTCTCCTTTCGAAGATCTGGTCGAAGCGGTCGCAAAGGATCTCACCTTGTGTTTAGAAAATGCTTTGCTGACATCTAAGAAACCTTGTAATGAATTGGGTGCACTGCAGTTGGAGCGTGAAGTGACGGATATTCTTGCGCGTATATCGTCGCTGGTATCTCAAAAAAGTTTGCGAGCATCGTTCACACGACTGTTCCAGATCGTTTTCATTCTGAATCTCATGCAACCTTCACACGTATTGGAATGCCGTACCAGTGGACGAGAAGCACTTTCTCTAGAAATGGTTGTAACACTATTACAAATGCGTGTGGATTTTAACCCACATGATGTTGCTCGTGTGATTGATCAGCTGACCAAGGTCGATCGATATAAGTAATGAATCTGCAATACATTTTAGATTTTGATGAATCGGGTGAGTTTGGGAATTTCAAGTTATATTTGCATAAATCAGAACAAGATTAGAAATTATCATATAACAAAAAAATGATATTTGTCGATCTTTTATCTTACTTTTTCAGGTGTAAAAATAAAAAATAGTCAGCAAAAATCAACATTACATTCAATAATATTGCAAATTTGTATGGATGGTCTATGTTTGTCACTTCAAAAGAAGTTAATTGGCCAACACGTTAAAAGCAATTAGTGTCTCTAAAGATTACGTATGACATTGTCTGTATTCATTAATCATTGAGGGAATTATTTTGGGCTCCTCCTGAGAACAGTGCGTCTTTTGGACAGAAAAGCTGCAAAATATTGTGGTCGGTCGCATTGTTTTGTTACTTGGCCTCATAGTCACGACGATAACAATTATACAAAACTTTGGTACAACAAGAAGCTCGTGAAAAAAACGTACATATGTGTCATTCCTCATGACCACTTTCTTTTCGACTATAACAAATAGTGCACAAGGAAGGCCTTAAGACCGTGTTGCCTTTCTACCCGCATAAAGTATAGCCCCGATTTTTTGTGCTGAATGGTTTGGTATTATCCATGTAAGTAATTTTAAAAGCAAAACTGGCTGGATGTCTGTATGTGCACATGCTACTGCATTGTTAAATCACTTTAGAAGACAGAACAAATCAATGCTAGTATAGCCCAAAAGGTCGTTTGCTCGTCATCAACTAGTCTCATTTGTTTTGCTATGTTTGAGTATCACGCTGACCATTTTTTAACTTTCATCGCAACCGATAGACAAACGTAGCGTAACCTGGATAGAAGTTTCAGACCTGAAGCTATTACAAGTGTATGGCATCTTGCTGCGCGCGTTAATCGTCGTTAAGTGGCAAAAATTTTTCTATGGGAAGTGCTCTCGACTTTTCGAAAAAAAGATTTAACGTTCAGCGAGGTTAACTGTTGTCGATAGTGATGAAACCTTTGCATGTTTGTCGGGGGTTCCGAATTGGAAAATACTGCAGTGATTTGCTGGGTTCCGAATATGTCGTTACAGCGTCTTAAAAGAGACGTTAGTAACAGCACGTTGAGAGTTAGGAAAGCAATTGGCCCAGAAACCACACGTACGTGCGCGATTTGTTTTTTGCGACATCGCAGACAAAAGGCTCTCTTTCCATGCCGACCTATTGAAGCTTGTTCATTCTTATACTTTCCTTGTTTTGGGAAGACTAAACTACCACTAACATGGATGCGCAAGTTGTTGTGTCGTTACTGATCCTTTCATTCGTCATCTGCGGTGTCGTATACGACGTTGAGTTGAGTCCACAGGGACGATTACTGCACTCAAAAAGCTATCGGTAAGTTTATCATGCAACTCTTTGACTACAGTTGCACACCTGGCTAACATTCTTACGACTCTTTTGTGTTACGTACAGATGGCGACGCTTGCAAAATTGGTTTCCATTGGGTGTAGCCTATGCTTCTTTTTACATGGCTCGATACAATGTATCTGCTGGTAACGTTACGCCAGTCCGCAGCCAGCTTGGCTTCACATCGTCCTACATGGGCTGGTACGTTTTTTTGAATCTGGTCATCGTTTCTTGTACTTTGGAGTGGAAAAATAACATTGTTATGCTGCTGCTTCATTCAGGGTATTATCAGCTGGATCGTGGACATATGCCATCAGCTCACCTATCACTGGACAGATCACCGATCGCATAGGGGGCAAAAATGGCATGCTCGTTGCGTGCATAGGGGCAGCAGTGTGCAATTTGGCACTCGGGCTAGTCTTTCTCCGAGACGAATCCCATCGCACTACGCAAATTCTTTTTATTGTGTTTTATGCAATTAATGTGCTGATGCAAGGATTTGGAACTAGTGCTGTCGTAAAGATCAATGCGGCGTGGTATGTGGCTAGCGAACGTGGAATGTTTGCCGGTGTCTTCAACGTAATGTTGACAAGCGGATACTATTTATCACTCGGGACAGGAAATAGCATTATTGAGTCGTTGGGCTGGGCGTACGTGTTCATCATTCCAGGAGGAGTGCTTCTACTCATGTCGATAATCATTGCGTATTTTGTAAAGAGTTCACCTGCTGAAACGACACACCTTCTAGCTGACCAACTACCGACGTGTTCGGCGCAAAATGAGCCTCACTGTATGTCTTTGGGAGAAGACGTCGAGCAAGAGATTCTTACGCCAAAGCAGCAGATGAAACAGCTCCTACAAAATTTCACTTTCCTTGGATACCTCGCTTCTTTATTTTTCCTCTGTTGGGCTCGCGACGGGTTTCTTAACTGGTTCCTCTCTTTCTTCGACGACGTGCGGTCTGTACCTCTTTCATCAAGTGATACGGCTATCATCGGTGGTGCCTGGACAATTGGAGGATTTGTTGGGGGGTATTCTTTGTGGTTGGGTCAGCGACACCCTCTTCAACTCAGATCGAGTTAAACCCATTTTTATCTTCTCGATGCTGCAGGCAATCGTTCTTGCAGTCATTTACCTCGTGAGCGCATCGTGCGGTGTAGCGACATTGGGAGCTCTCACTTTCCTCTCGAGTGTATTTATACTTGGTAACTATACGCTGCTGAGCTACACAGTGCCAACGGATCTACCTCAGGAAATTGCTGCAGGAGCTACAGGTATCATGCACGCGGTCGGGTATTTCTCGACAGGTCTATCCAGTGCCGTCATGGGCAACGTCATTGGCACCGCAGGCTACCTCGTGTGGGCAAAGTCTCTTGTTGTGGCGTCTGTACTTTCGGGCATATTTGTTAAACTAGGGTCTCACTTTGCTAAAAAGAATCACGTGACCAAGTCCACACATCAGCCAGCACCAGCCACACAGACGATCGATTCGTCGAGCGATACGTCCGTCGCCTCATGTGAAGACGATTTTATTGTAATGGAGACGCCCAAACCTGCAAAGACCCTCGACGACTTGCTGCACTCTTGAGCTTACTCTCATGATATGAATCATTGTTATTGACGACTACTAACTCACGAAGATGCAGTAGAATGCAATTGAATTAATCGTTGAACCGATATGATCACTGGTTTGGATCTAATAGAATTTTACAAACATGTATTGCTGGCTAATCAATCGTCTGTCTAGGTTTTCTCTGTACGACCCATAGCGCCCTTTACACTGCACACAAAAAAGGTTCCTTGCAAAAGTAACCTGTCCATACCGTATCTGGTCAAATAATGCGGTTGGCGCATTTGTTCCCTAGGTTTGCATCATCAACTGATTGAGCGATACACACTCGTACTTTTTCTTAGCCATCAGTGTCAATCCACGATCTATTCTCAAGAGCATTTGGTCTTTTGTATGCCCTACGAAGTCAGAGAGAAGGGCGTTACATTCAAGCGGCTTATTTGGTAAGACTAAAAAGAAGTTTAAACGAATTGATCGAAACTCTACGACAGAAGTAGTTTCATTATAAAAATTACTTAGGCTTCCTTTTACATAACAAAATTCACCATGGTGATTGACAATGTCTTTAGCTGTTCGTAATAGTTCGATTGTCCCCACTGCTTTCAGTGGCTGGTACGCTGATGGACTCCCGTAACTTTGTTACAAACTCTTGGCAACTGGAGAAGTAGACCGCGTTGCTATCTCTTAGAGTGTTGGAGTGCGTAAGATGCACGAAAAGAGGAGATGAATTCGTGGGTGCTCATCGTGCTCATCACATCTGTTGCTAAAGGTAACGAAGTGTTGGATTGACCGTGACGGTAAAACAATCGCGTAGGATCGTTGTCATGGTGTCGCTAGATGTCGAATCGGGTGCGAGTCTACTCATCCAAAATTTCGTTGTCCGAAGGCGAGCCGGTCGATAGATAGCGTAATCATATAGACACTGCGGAGACCACCATGAAACTGGAAGAACGTACCAACATTTTTTTGGCAAGGTGTCACGGCAGTTGTCGGCAAGCGTGCAGACCACTGATTCCATTCAGATGATGAAAATGTCGCATATCCTGAAGACACCACCGCAGTGAAGCACATCCCATCACTGCCAAAGCCATTGCGTTGAAACAAGAAGTCACTCATCTGTGTAGACTCCTCTATCAGCTGAGTTGGAATACATTGCTGTTAATGGATATGATGGCAATGCGATGTATTAGAGTGACGGATCGTATGACCACAAACACGCTGATTACCATTTGAAAGTGCTACCAAAGGCCTCGCTAAAAGTGGTAAGCGTCCTCGCGCGAGACGCAACTAGGCGAAGACCTATTGACAAAAGCATTCTAGACGCCCGGACTCAACAATGCAACATTTTGGCGGGTGGCAATAGAGCTGGGCGACGACCTTCCTGCGGTTGTATCGCCATCGAAACCCATCGTTGAAGCCAACGCCAATGTATACAAATGGAAGCTCGACAGTATTGCTAGAAGGTGAGATGTGTGGAGACGTTTCACAAGCACTTGGTTGAATGTGGCTGCAGGCGTAAATAGCATCAGCCTGTAGACTATCCACTGTCCGACACTACCAGCTTAAAAGAAAAGGACATAAATTCCAGATATAAAATGACCATCGGCTTGTCAATGAGGTGACAAATCCTATCACCGGAGTCTGATACACCGAGTCAGAGACTGCATTAGAGGACGGCTTGGGGCGACATATATGGGTAAAGGATGTTAGGGAGAAAATGTAACGAGGTTACACAAAGGTGTGTACTTTTGTTTTAAGTACACCGGTACGTTTCATGTTGGATGTTGATTTATATACATCATCAGGGAGTTTTATGATAGTTCAGAAAATTGCCATGGAACAGCGTTATATGAAAGCTTCAAAATAGCTCATGGTAGTGAACTAAAAGGACCTTAAATATATTTACTTCGGCTTTTGCCTCCAACACAACAACCTACTACTACATTAATATGTTAACAGCCACAAGGCCACCGACTGACGCTCAAGATATGACCTTCAAACGCGCCGAAGTCCTCCTTGGGAATGGGACATATTACCACTGGGAGTATAACATGCGCATGACAGTGGCACGCAAGGATCTACTGGGCATGTTGAGGTTGTAAAGCCCGAGAACGAGGTCACCGGCATGGTTCGTTAGTGACGCAAAGGCGCATAAAATTTTCGCTTAAGGTGTGGTGTGGAGATACAGCAACAGACCAACATTTGGTCTGTGACGAGTGCGATGCATGCGTGGGGTGTGCTACAAGACTTCTATAACCGTTCCACGCTCCGTAACCGTGTCACGATAACACGTCGTCTCCATGCATTTATAAAGGAGAGTGGTGATACTCGAAAGATTCGAAGCGGATATTCTGAATCGTACCACAGTTGGAAGGCAGTCATCAAGGGGTCGGACGTACCTACCACCGAATACGGGGGTACTGCCATTGAATGGGTCTATTTTGAAGTGTTCAATGATATGTGGGTACTTGTGTGGATTGTGAGACTGGGAAATTAGGACCGTCCCTATTATGGAAAGACTCCGGACCCTTTCCAGATTATAGCAACTGACTTTATCTATCTCTGTCTAAGTCGCACAAATAGAATACTGAACTACTGATTTGGTTTGACCTGTTCACTGGATATATAATGGCTCAGGCTAGTGCTCCAAGGACGGCCCAAACGACTGCCAAAGGATACGAAGAATGTGTTATGCGCCGTTTTCGTCTGCAATCCACTAAGACCAAGAACCGAATTTATTTTGATTTCTTACGGGCGTTAAGTCCCATGGTGGGCCAGAGAAAGCAAGCGACCATAGCTTGTCGACCTCGGGCGGACGGAATAGCGGAGAGAATGGCTCAGTTCCTGACTAATTGTCCATCAAGATGTATGTTTCTGATGTCAGATAGCGGGTATACGATAAGTACGATTATCGTTTGACGTTCGCATTGAACACTGCGCAAGGCCGATTGCGTAAGGAGACACCGTTCTATTTGGTCAATTGCTGGGATGCTATAACAAACCTTGAAAGCTACATTACCGGTACTAAGTACTCGACCAAGAGATTTTAGGCGGCAAAGAAGAAGTAAGCACATTCAGTCGGCCCCCGAGGTAAGACTCTTCGAAAGACGATCGGATTTAGTTGGGCCATCGGGTGAAGAGCCAGCTGCGCGAGAAGTCGCCGAAGGTTGGACCAAAACTTATAGCGGATTTTTTAAGGTCATGTCGGCGTGCTTTAGCACCGCCACAAGAGAGAATATTGACTCTACCGGTAGTAAATCTGCCATAGCAGGTGGTCGACCAACGCAGTAAACGATAATTACGGCTTTCTTTGACAGGTCAAAATTTCGCAGGATGAGTGCTGTAGCAATCTTATTTATTAGCATTACAAAAGCTACTTGACCTCTAGACCATTTCTTAAGGTCTTAATACTTGGTAGCCGCAACGTCGTTAGTCTCCAACTTAAGCAGCCATGCGTTGAGATCGACCGTTGAGGGACTGAAGTCTACCTTGAAAAACTGAGGTCTACTTTGCAAGACCGAGGTATATCGATGAAGGTTTCAGATCTACCTTAAGAAACCGAGGTCTACCGATAAAAAACCACAGTCTACCTTGAGAAACCAAAGTCTAAAGATGAAAGACCGCGTGCTATCGATGCGGAACCGCGGTCTCTCCTTTCAGTATCGAATATCCGGTACCACGGCAGTGATTTTGACCACAAATACTCATCATCCAGCTCTCGCCTTCCCCTCTACGGCCCCTTCTATTCCGGTCCACCATTCAGCGGTCGCTGATTATCTGTAGTACTCATTCTCTCCGGTCCACCGGTCCTTGTGCTATCCACATATTTGAAAGCACTTCATCACGATGTCGGGTTATTCGACTTTGTATTCTCTGTAAGTGTTGAGGACAAAAGTCCAGGGCGAGGCCCGAGGGATGTCAGTAGAATGTTCGAGAACCCACTCGATGACACAAATGACATGTGTCATTAGAATAATGTTACATCATTAAACGCCGTGAGTGGAGTTAGGCTGCAATCCAAGTTTACAGGAAAAGATTCCAAAAGACATAGGTAACGAGATACTGACCCTGGGTGGGGGGGTGAAGCCACCATTAAATGTTGTCTTTGAGTTACAACGAGATGCAAGCACCTTGTATGTACAATGTACAGTGTCTTCGATCTTAGTCGATGGATATTACCAACTGCACATGCAAGCTAGTGATATCCCGCTGACAGCGTCAGCACTGCGAGCGGTATGCTCTGGGAGTGGTTAGTGATGTCCTAAAGGCTGTCTAACGCACCTGCAACGTTCAATCGTCTGGTGACGCAGTTGCTTCGGCCCCAGAAGGCGCATACACCGACATAATTTGACCATATATTCGTCCATAGTCGAGCCAAAAATGGCAAAAATGATGTGGAGAATCACATCGAGCACCTGCAAGATGTGCTCAGTTGTATGAAGATGCGTAAGTTATTTGCCAATATTGACAAATGCATCTTCGGTGCGGAAGAGATTCCTTGTTTGGGATGCTTCATTGGGAAGCAGGAATCCAGGCAGATCCTGTAAGGCCAAAGCCATAGTGGATTGGCCGGTTCCGAGGAACCAGAAGGACCTCCGCAAGTGGTTGGGTTTGGCAAATTACTTGCACAAGTATAGCCACAACTATGTGGAAGTGGCTAGGCCATTGTCGAATCTCCTCAAAAAGGATGTGGAATGGTGTTATAACACCTAGCGCCACGAGGCTTTTGAAGCCATTAAGGAGAGTCGCCGTCAGGCGCCAATTCTGGCGCTGCCTGATCCTGATCGCCCGTTTAACGTCGTATGTGACGCTTCGGACTTTGCCATTGGCAGTGCACTTTAGCAAGTCGACTTTGAGGGTCGAGAACGCGTCATCGCGTTTAAGTTTCGCCAGCTGAAAGCTACAGAGAAGAACTATCCAGTTCATGACAAGGAGCTACTTGCCATGAAGTACTCCCTCGTTAAGTTCAGGGTACACTTGTTGGGCTCAAATCCGTTTGCGATCTTAATTGATCATGCGACATTACGCACAGCGACACAGTCGCCTCATCTCTCGCAGAGAATGGCTCGTTGGCTCTCCTTTTCCGCGGAGTATAACTTCGAGGTGAAGTATAAGCCGGGAAAACAGAATGTTTTGGCTGACGCGTTATCGAGTAGACCTGACGATGAGCTTGCTATCTCACTGTTGTGAGTTTGTCAGTAACGGACCGTATCCGTGTGGCGTATGCACGTGATGAGGCATGTGTTGCCATTCTGCAGGCGCTGGGTAGCGCAGAGTTTAAAAACTCTAAGGTGAAGCTATCACCACGTGATCGTGCAAGATTACACCTTTATGCACTGACCGATGGTCTGTTGTACTATAGTACAGGGTCGGATTACCAGTCCCGTGTTGTGGTGCCTTAAGATGAGGACCTCAAGTACCAGGTCCTTAATGAGGCTCATGATACCCACTTGGTGGTCATTTAGGTCGTGAGAAAACCTACAGCTCAGTGAGAATCCATTATTGGTGGTCCAAGTTGTATATGTGGGTTGGTACATATGTACGCACGTGTGAAGCGTGTCAACGGGTGAAGCCATCGCCTAGTATGGCTGCATCTTTGGCGAGTTTGCCTGTACCCTCGGGGTTGAGGCAGTCCATTATTATGGACTTTGTGTTTGGCTTACCGCGTGATGCAGCAGGCAATATGAGAATTGTGATCGTTGTTGACCGACTGAGCAAGATGGCTTATGTAGCGGCAGTGCCGGGTCACAGTGATGTAAAGGGAACAGATAAGCTGTTTATTAATTGCGTGTTTAGACAACACGAATTGCCTGAGGCAATGGTCTTTGATAGGGACCTCCGATTTACGAGTAAGTTTTTGGACGTCAGGCTTTAAAGTGCTGGGCACTAGACTGGACATGTCCACGGCGGATCATTCACAGACCGATGGTCAAACGAAACGCGTGACGCACATTATTGGTAATATGCTTTGGAGTGAATGTGCTGAAACACCAAAGCAATGGAGCACGATGCTACCACACATTGAGTTTGCGTTGGATAACGCGGTATATGCCTCGACAGGCTTCATATTATTCTATGTGAATGGTTTGGTCAACCCTCGCGTTCCGCTAACGCTACCCCTTACCATATCAGGGCTTAGTGGGGGGAGAGATAGCCGAAGGCTTGGATGATATCAGCCCTGTTGCGATTCGTAAGAAGGTGGAAATGTTTCTGTCAACGCGTTTTGACGTATTACGTCGCGTCATAGACGCTAGGGCTGAAAGCCAAGATGTTCAAAAGGAACAAGCAAATACTAAAGGCAAATAGAATTAACACGAGTTCAATGTGGGTGATTTAGCTTTATTAAACGCTAGGAATTTACCTACTCGTGCCGTTTCTGCGGTATACAAAACCAAATTACGTCACGTTTTATCGGTCCTTTCAAGGTATAAGCAAGAAAGGATTAGCTTATACGCTGAACCTTCCGAAAAAGGTGCGGACACACCCGACATTTTATGTGGGCTTACTAAAGCCATATCTCAACCCTGCCTCGATGTACCTCGGACATAGGAGCGGGTAGTACTAGTACCGGAGGTGCATATGGACGCTGGAGGCGTACCAGGAGGTCAAGTTGACACCGAATCTCGGCTTGAGAACGATCAATCACCGCTAAGCAATCCGAGGCCTCAAAGCGGTAACGCTCAAAGGATCGACGGTATCGATCGACACGGTCATCGAGCGATGACAGGTGAGACGTCACCGATCCAAGAGTGTCGGGCGACGCTCGATCTCAGAGAGATGAGAGGATAATGGGTCACCAACCTCCACCGACTCTTATTGACGAGCTGGGTCATCAAAGGTTCCACTTGAAACACCTCTTGCTCCGGCATCGTCACCAGGGTCAAACTAAATATTTGGTGAAGTATAGAGGTTACCCCCAGTCGTGCAACACGTAGGAGTATAAGGTACCCCTCCGGCAGGATTGACCTGACGCCGTTGACGCTTTTGACACGGACGGTCAGAAATGACGACAGCTGTCGTCGGACTCTTCCTAGCACTAGGTGCTGAGAAAACAAGGTCAGTAGGATGGCTTCGCCTCTGACCTTCAGAAGAAGTCAACGCCGGTACATCACTTGCGTGAGAGGTACGGGCAACAGCTTCCGAAACTTGCTTCCCACAAGTCTTCCACCTGTATGTGAAGGGTAATTGACTCTTCGCTTTGAGCTTAGCGAAGTTAATCCGTAGACCAAGTTCTAACCGAACGTCTTGCGCTTTAGCGCTTAAACGCAAGCTTTCCAAACTTAATAGTTTACATGCTCGTTCTACCCAGCGGGTGAACTGGTGATCATCTTGTGCAGATGTTTCACCTGGTGCAAGCACCACTGGTATGCCCTTTAGTGGGTGCACAGTCACCCCACGTGACTGTCTTGACAGTCGCTCCTGATACAATCTCATCGTAAACTCCTGGGGAGTAAGGAGCCGCTCACGAAGAGCAACACTATCTGCATTTCTCGCAGGCCGTACGGGCATGGGACCCAATGACATAGGTTCGCAAAGATTGCGATGCAGCTCGTCGAGCTTCTTCATTAGGGTCCTGGGGCACGAACATATAATAACGTCGTGAAATGTTTGCTTGGGCCGTGACAAAGCGACCGCTCGGGCCTCGTCATCAAGTTGACGACGCTGGGCAGCGTCAAGAAGGTCGGTTACCTCTTTGTCAGTACCCTCTCGCGAGGGAAGTGGTGGTGCTTGGAGCAATGGGGTTGTCTCGTTTGAGCGTGATGATCTTGAGGTACCATGACCCGAAGGAGACTCGGCGCCGCTACCTCTAGATGCAACGTCACTTTCATCGTCACCAAAGATGTTGCGACGCATTGCATCATCCATGATGGAGCAAGCGCTATAGGGATAAGTGCTTTAAAATGCAAGTGTTGTGAGCACTGTAATGCTTCACAGCAAGTGTTCGTATACACAAAAAGAGTATTAATACCAAGTGCTTGGCACTTAACGCTTATAATTAAGTGTCATAATACTTAATGCTTTAGCGTGAGTGTAATGCACTGTATATTCAAAGAGCAAGTGTCGTGGCACTAGAATGCGTAGGAAGCGTGCGTGCAAAGCACAGGTGCTCAAGGAGCTAGTGTCGGAACAATAAAGCTTTGTTCGCAAGTGCGAGGCACTTATTGCGAGGCAAGCAAAATGAGAAGAAAATGAAATCGATGCCTCCAATCAAGTGCGATAATTCGGGTACGTCGGGTCCCACGGATTGGTGGGGGAGGGTGTAACGGGGTTACACGAAGGTGTATATTTTACATACGCACATGCCACACCAATGTCGTGTACCTGTACCTTGGGTACAAGAGAAGGCTCGATGTGACCGTACCTAAGGTACGAACGGTCGCATCGTGGCAGAGAGCCACGTCGTCATTATACTTAGTTAAGTATTTTGACTACACATGTTTGCATATTAATAGGCTACAGAGCCAGTAAATAGTGACTAGCACTAAGTATAGAAAAGGTGCTTCTTATTTAGTGCTAGAAGATAACCTTAAATATAAATCAGGATTAAACCTGCTCTGTATAGCACCAGTTGCTAGAGCGCTCTACTCCGTATAGAAATTGTATCTTTGATACTAGTCTCTTGGAGACGCGGTTGCTTGCAACCAAAGGTACAAGCTTGTCAATCTAGCCTTGGAAGGATTAAGAACCCTAAGACACATAAGCTTTTGGAGCTTGTCTTCCTCTGCACGTAATGCATAAGTAGTTTGGCTACAGTTGCTCGGCTACAAGCACACAATTATATAATGTTTAGCAGGATTAATCGAATACGAATTTACAGCGTAGTGTAGTGTGCTGGCTCAAAGGGCATTATGCGTATGACGACGTCTGTTTGCATTAACTTTGTCGTCATTTAGACAAGATTTAGAAAAAAATCCAGTACGCTTAGAATAGCACTAGACGTGAACGAAAGACCTCACTATTCTCACTTTTTATATTGTACAAAACACTTGGTGCCCATACTTTATGTTTTTATATGTAACATGACTCGTTTGATTGACTATTTTTAAGTCGCTAACATTTTCTGTTACTCAAACCATTAATCTAGTATGGTACGTCTGCTGTTATTCTTGGCCTTTGCGCTAGCTTGTAGCAAGCTTCTGACTCTCACTCTGTGATATGTAATCTAGTCGGTTACACTGCACACGACGTTGGGTGACATTAAGATTGAAGTTTGCTGCGATACCGCTCCCCGTATTGCTGAAGTAAGCGTAAATTCAGCTTTTAGCTTTTTCTACTAAGTAAGCATTATTGTGTAATTTTGTATTTTAACGTTTCGTTATTTTCGATGGTAGAATTTCCTAGCACTTTGTGCATGTGGTGCATACGACGGCACAAACTTTCATCGGCAAGATGCGGTTCTAACAATTTGTACAAATTTTATGAGAATAACACGTCCATAGTTTCTAAATCTGTTGTCTAATGGTACAGAAATATGAAAGGTTTTATAGTGCAAGGAGGTGACCCGACAGGAACGGGCAAAGGTGGAGAAAGCATATGGGGTGGAGCAATCGACGATGAATTTCACCCACAGAACAGAGTATAATATTAACTGTTACCATACACTGTTGTAACTTATGGGGACTAAAATGCGTTTTTTTGAGCAGCACAATTGCCGAGGAATTGTTTCCATGGCCAATAGCGGCCCCAACACCAACAAACAGCAATTTTTCATCACATACGCCAAGCAGCCCCATCTTAACAACGTTTACACGATCTTTGGCAAGTATGTGGAGACGAAAGAGTGCCAAGAGTGCTTTATGCGGTGAATGTACTCTTCACCGTGTACGAGCTAGTGCATCTGTTGTTAATGAGTATCGACCAGCACACTACTGTCCAATCAATCAATACTGACCATTCCGCAACTTCACTTCGTGACCCTTGTTTGACAGGGTTATTGATGGTATGGACACGCTGGATGCCATGGAGAAAACGCCTGTAGATGTCAAAAATCGCCCCCTAAACGAAATCGTGATCAAATACGTCACCATGCATGCAAATCCCATTGCGGACATGTGAGTCGGACGAAGTAGATCAAATTGACAACAATGACGAAACACCGGTAACCAGATGGGTAACTGAAGTACACAATATCGCTTATTCCATTCCCACTTTCATATAAAGCGTAATGTCATCCGGCTTTGTCGTTGCCATCTGCGCCATTAGTTGCAGCTGCAAGTGGGAGTAGTGATGCTTTCACGACGGTCTCCGCAGAAGCAAATGTCGGTCCAAAATTTGTTTGCCTTTGTGTCTTTCTATCAGCACAAGCGACAGCGCCTTGTGGTCGACCTCGCTGGCACCTAGTAGTCCAACAGCGGCAAGTTTGATCTCCTTTGACGTACGCTTAAGGTACTCCAAAACCGCAGCAGTTGCAGACGGATGCAATCGACATTCACCTACTCCAGCATGGCCATGCAATGAAATCTTCTCGTGTACCTCAAACATGTTGACAAGTTAATCATATACATATTGCAATCCCGTCTCACACAGCTCCGGCGCCGCTAGAGCTGCAGTAATGTCGTTCTTATACGGGTTCTTGCCCAACACGTCGGAGAAAGTAAGACATAAACCGCTTTCTGGAAGCGCGAAACACTTCAACTACGTAGTCTTTCGGTACCATCTGCTCGCGCAAATGACAGCTGTAGACACCTTAAACACACGCAGGACTGCTCAGCATCTCATGACAACTCTTTTCCGTCGTACGACCCAAACCATCTCCAATGTCCAAGCGAAAACGTCAGCAACGTCCCTGTCCATCGGTAAAAGTACGATACAGCCAACGTCGTTGCAATTCTTGATTTGGTATGCTGAACACAATTGATGCGCCGTTTTAATTGCGTCCACCACTCCACCTTCAAATGCTGCTTGGTCCAATTGCTCCCTGTTGTGGCTAGTCAGCTCCTCTAACACAATGCGTACACCTTGGCAAGCACTTTCAATACTATAGTTGAAGAAACTGGCACTCCGTCATAATCAAGGAGCAATTGGCGTCCGAAAGGGACTACGTCCATTACAATTTGTAAAGAGCAGGACGCTGCTCCCGAAACTTCTCTGTGGAACTCAAGGCCGCCTGTGCACGTAAAGCTTGTGCTGCTCTTCCCACTTAGATCGAAGGTTACTCGCAGGAGTGGTCTTTCAAGGTAATTATTGGCCTCGCGTCTACATTCGTCATTGCTGACACGTGTTCATTTAACTATGAAACAGGTCCAACGATCATCGGAACCGTAACAGGGACCGTCATTTTGGCAAAGTTCTTCTTAAAACCATGTCAAAGGGCTTGCCAGAACTTCTGCCGGTAATATAGTCGTCTGTGGACGCGTAAAAGTTTGTCAAGGACCGATAAACAACGCTTGCATACCGAGCAGCCGTGACGCCGTCGTAGGTATAGGCACAACTGGCGTTGTAAATGACACGGAACTTTTGTTTCATCGTCTTTGGAGAATGTTGTTCCGCTACATGCACTGAAGACAGCGCCTCAGGCCACAACATGTGGCAGTTCAAGACTTTGACTGATGACGTGAGGTGGCCGCAGCCAAATATCTCGTTCTAGAGACCAAAGCAAGAGGTAAAGATGTTGTTTGAAGAATGCTTTTAGACATGTTAACGAACAAGTTTGCACCGCGGAGGGTATGGGATTGAGAAAAACAGTCATGAGATAGAACAACAGTTGATTTTGGTTATCTGTCTCATCAATGGTTGCACAGCTTCTCTTATTCACCCTACGTTTCGTTCGTACAGTATCCGCGTTAACTTAATTCTTCATTAGGCTCGTGTAGCTTCAGCTCTTCTGATCCACTTCACCTTGACTTGACTCCGCCTCATATTCTGCATCCCGCATCGGCTTTAATCCATCATCCACGTTTGTTATTTTTTTCGTGTCAGACTGGTATGGATTCGTCTCTTCAAGCACCTGTTGTTGGATGCTTTCATCTCACTGCTCCATCCAGATTCTTTGACGATGCAACTAATTCCATGTGTCGTTCTAAAAACTTTTCTTTGCTCACTCGGCCATGCTCTAAAAGTTCATCAGGCTTCTTCTCAAGCATACTTGGATCTGGCAAAGATTAATGGTGTGCCTTAGCTACTAGGTTTGCTGGGTTGACTTTAGTCATGATTGCAGAAATAGCTTGCTCATCCTTGGTCCATTCAGTAAGGGCAGACATGAGAAGGAGTCCGTCGCTTGGTGCTAGTGCCCTCTCTTCATCGTCTTCTTCCGGTTTGGACAAGTCGTGACGAAGTAACCTATGACCACCCTGAGTGTCTTGCCGGGTTATATCCGCTTCGTCGATTGCCAATAATCGCGCGTGACTTGCGGTTGTGACAACTGCCTTCCCGGTTTCGACGAGCAGTAGGATCTGGCAAACTTTCATCGACGGTGCTTGACAAATTGAATTGCAAAATACACGAAGAGAATTGCGAAATGAAAAGAACAGTGATCAGACTGATAGGTTAAACCAATGGCAATTCTGCCCAACAATGGTTCATGTGCTGTATCAAATTCCTTGCAACAAGTATTCGGACACCTGATCTGGATACGTCTGTCTGCCCATATCTAAAATACAATATATACTAATTAATCGGTATAGAAAAGACGTGGATGTTTCTTGTTGAACTCGTGAAATTTTTGCACATGATGAATGGATGAGCTGTAGTCTCTCAACGCCCTTTATACATTGTCTGTTTCTGTGATATTTAAATGAAAATCAATCGCTAGAACCGAGAGGATACTTAGTCCAACAATACCCATTAGAATGTAGCTTCAGGAGGATCACAATACTAGCTGAAAGCGTGAAGCTTAAGAGCGATGGCAACAGAAGTGACTGAGCACCTCGCAAATTATTGATGTACATATGTGCAAGAAAAGGACAAGAAGAGAACGGACAAAGCGGTACACTTTCTGTTTCATAAAACAGTACGCTCTTTTTAGTACTGTTCCTTGCCGGTGATAACCACGCCACTCATGCTCAGCATGTGTTATATATTCATGCTTAGCAAACTGATGATGTCTTTGTTACTTTTATTTGGTTTTAGCAATACCAACGCTGAAAATCGAGTAGAATAGCGAAGTTTTTTATAATGATGACAGCTTGGTCAATCCAAAACAATCACACTTACGCTACCAAACGATATAGTATTCGGACCAGTTTACCAGACTCAGGTTGGCGTGTCTCGTGTGACATATGTTAGAGTGGATGCAGAGTCTTTTTCCGGAGCGTCCACGACATATGGGAAAGAAATACTACGAAAAGGTGTTATCTTACTCGCCTGCATGCGTGCAGGCCGCTGATCCCATTCAGATGATGATAATGTTGCATGTCCATATGACACCACCGCAGTGAATCACATCCCATTGCTGACAAAGCCATTGTAAGGAAACAAGAAGTCACTCATCTGTGTAGACTCCTTCACCACCTAAGTTGTAATGTATTGTAGCTTGGTGGGTCCACAAGGACCAGAAAAAGACAGCCTGTGCTCATGGTGGTTTCGGCAGCGGCTTCTTGACCCGGCATCGCGGTATGTGGGAAAGCGATTACGTTTCGCTATCGCCGCTTGGCTTTATACTGAATGCCAGTGATGCTTTATCGAGTCGACGCCTCCGTGCTCATGCTCGATGCCGGTACCAAGGCTACAGGTGGAAAGAGTCGCTTGCCCACGTGCTCAGCCACTGCCCGGGTAAAATGGATGCGATCCGCGATCGTCTTGACGACGCTCTGAAGACCATCGAAAGCACCTAATTTAGCCGGTGGATCAACTTCATGGTCGCACGGAGCTTTGCGTCAGCCGCGTGGATTGAGTACTAGGCGCGGTAGGTGTCAGTGGTGTGCGTGCTGCCGTAGCATCGACCTCCTCAGTCCTTGTAACTGATCGTACAGCCACTGCGCGGTAAAGAGATTTCCTACGAGCACGGTTGGCTGACTTGCAGTGCAATGAGGACCCGGCAGCTACGTGCATGAGCACATCGTGAGCATCCAGAACAAATCTTGAGCGACATAAGCAGGAAAATTGAGCATCGGGGACAGAAGCATGAGCGACAAGAGCTTAATTCTGTACCGTGTCACTTGATTCTTGGACCTTCATTACAATATTTAGATCCGCGTTATTCGGGGTAACGAAGGCGTCGTTTAGACGACACAGTTTTCAGTTGCCCTAAAAACACACGCAAAGTTGCGCCATCTAAAGCATTATAATACCGAGAAGGGGCAACACAAGGAGCAAGGTTTTTTTGGCGGCTGCAATTATAATTTTGTGAAATCATAACGAAGAGGCAGAAGATAAGCTCTATTAGGGGTTCTCCCGCCGGACAATTCGTTGTTACCCCAGTCTTAGCGCTTGAACATGTAGATATGCCCAAAAAAGGCTTTGTTTGAATATACACGCCTACACTAGGCTTTGTTTCAATAGACTAGCCTAACATAAGATCATATCATAGTAGGCATACCTAAAATAGGATTCACTAAAAAAGGTATTTAATAGGCACTTCATGGGCAAGACCAGGGTGTCAGCCTCACCACATATTTAAACCGGTAAAACCAAAGCAGAGGAGCCCACAAGGCGAGAAAGGGGGGGAGTCAGGCACCGCCGATTTGCTAGCGACTGCCGCATGTGATGGTAGAATGCTCTCAAGGGGCTCATTTGGGGCTAGTGGGGCAGGCGGGACAGGCGGGGTGGAGTCGACGGTTTTCTCTGCAGTTTTCAGCCGGCGAGACTCAAACGCAATAACGCGTTCTTGACCCTCAAAGTCGACTTGCTAAAGTGCAATGCCAATGGCAAAGTCCGAAGCGTCACATACGACGCTAAACGGGCGATCAGGATCAGGTAG